TTGACGTCTTCGACCTCGACTTCGACCTCGTCAGCGTCGAGCACGAGCACGAGCACGAGCACAACCCCAACCAACGCGACCGCAACCGCCTCAACCTCCGCCTCAAGCACCGCCTCCCCCATCCCCCGGCCTCAGCACAGGCGCACAAGCCGGCATCGGCGTCGGCGTAGGCGTCGGCGCACTCATCCTGCTCGGAATCGGCGCCCTCCTCTTCCTGCGCCGAAGACGCCGCACCCGGGCCGCGGGAGGCTACGGCGCGCCCGGTCCGAACAACGAGGACCAGGACCAGGACCAGGACCGGGACCAGCAGCACGGCCCGGCCAAGGAGTACCGCCCGACCACCGCGCCGGAGCGCGCGAAGCAGTACGCGCCCGGTTACGACCACGCGGCCCGGCCCGTCTACCACGAGCTCCCGCAGGACCAGGAGTTCGTCGAGCTGCCGGCAGAGCGGCGCGTTGGAGAACTGGAGGGCCCGATGCGAGGGGAGAAGCCCGTGTAGGGGTGAGTGCGGAGGCCCATGTTGGAGGAAACACTGCTTTGATGTCGATAAAAGAGCATGGCGTTGGGATTTTTCTGGGGAGGAGGGTTTCATTGCTTTGGGTACCTGGCGGCCTTGATTCGTTCACATTTGAGAAAAAAACAATTTCTGGAGCAGGAGATGTCGTATATACCCCTTTTTCTTTTCTTTTCTTTTTTTTTCTTTCGTCGGGATCTGTATCCTATGGCCACGGACATATCTTCCTTAACCACGAGGACTAGATCGGTCGTCGATGCTAATGGAACGGTACGATCACATGACCCCATCTATGCCTTAACACCTCTTCATCCGATGTCGCACAGGCAGCATGTACAAGCAAAGTAGTCGTACGACATCTCCCATTGAGCAAAATCCATTTCCTTGTTTCTCTATGACTCGCCTCGAGCACGCAGCGACATATTCGTGCATGGACCACTCTGCAACAATTTCCAGGCACGGCTTTTCTTTCTTTTTTTCCCCTTCTGGACACCATTGTAGCTAAACCCCCATCTGCTTCACCCCTCCAATCTCAACCTCTCAAACTGCTCGATGCTGCTCTCGTAGTTCTTGTACTCGGCCTCGAGATCCTCCAGCTTCTTCTTCTCGGTCTGGAGCACGGAAAAGTTGACCCTGTCGGCGAAGCCCTCGGCGCTGAGGATTTTGCGCTGCTTGGCCGCGCCCTCGGACGCCTTTGCCATCTTGGCCTGCGCCTTTGCGATTTCGGTGGCGACGTCGACGCGGCCCTTGACCTCGAGGAAGACGGCCGCTGATGCGGAGACGGCGAAGACGGCGCAGCCGGTTGGTGGGGCGTCGTCGGGGCCCTGGACGCTGAGGGACGTCAGGCCGCGGCCGGAGAGGGAGCGGATGGCGTTTTGTTCCGAGGAAGCGGTGGAGTAGGATGTCGGGTCGGAGCATTGGACGAAAGCTAGAGAGGGGAGGGGTTCGTCAGTATAAACGTTCGTGTGAAGGGGAGGAATGGGAGATGCTATCACCTTTGCCCTCTTCCTTGATCGAGTACTCGGACATCAGACTCCTGATACCCTTTGAGCAGCCCAGGAGAAGCTCGTACGCGGCCTCGCTCTCGGGGTCTTCCAAGCTGGCATCGTACTCGGGGTAAGCGGCGATGACGATACTCTTGGTGCTGTCGCCCTGTCTGCGTGGCAGTCTCTGCCACAGCTCTTCACTGAGAAATGGCATGAAGGGGTGGATCATGCACAATGCACCCTCGAGCGCGGTGTACAGCGTGTCGACGGCGCTCTTCCTCTCCTCTTCGGTGCCCTCCCTGATGATGACCTTGCTGTTCTCAATGTACACGTCACAGAGGTTGTCGTACCAGTACTGGTAAGCCGTAGAGGTGGACTTGGAGAACTCGCGCGCGGTGAGCGCCTCGTTGATCTCCTTGGCCGCCATGGTGAACTTGTGAAGGATCCAACGTTCGGCAAGCGACTCCTTTCCCGTCTTGCCACCTTTGGCTGGAGGGGTGTAGCCTTCCGGCAGGTTGCCAAGAACGTACTTGGTGGCTTGGTAGATCTTGTTGCAGAAGCGGCGGTAACCTTGCATGACTTTGACGTCGAAAGCGATGTCGCCACCACCGGTGGTGTACTGGACCAGGGAGAAGCGGAGGGCGTCAGCACCGCACTCGGGGATACCTTGAGGGAAGGAGTCCTTCTGGTACTTTGTGGCCGTCTTGACCTCCTTGGGATCGAGGTTGCCTTGGAGCAGCTTGTCGTGAAGTTCCTGGAGTGTGATACCGTCCATGATGTCGACGGGGTCGATGACATTACCAAGAGACTTGGACATCTTGCGACCCTCGGAATCTCTGATCAAGGAATGACAATACACTTCCTTGAATGGCACTTTGCCGGTCAGCTTGATACCAAGCATGATCATCCTGGCGACCCAGAAGAACAGAATGTCCCACCCGGTCTCCAGCACGGACGTGGGGTAGAGCTTCTCAAAGTCGGCCGTCTTGTTCGGCCATCCGAGGGTGGAGAACGGCCACAAACCGGAGGAGAACCAAGTGTCGAGACAGTCGGCATCCCGGACAAGCTCAAACTTCTTGCCTGGGAACTTCTCCTCCGCCTTCTTCCTTGCCTCCTCCTCGGTTCTGCCGGTGACCCAGAGGTTGCCGTCAGTATCGTCACCCTTCTCGCCCTCGATCTTGACAAAGTAGGCTGGAATCTGGTGGCCCCACCAAAGTTGACGGGACAAGCACCAGTCGTTGATGTTTTCCAGCCAGCGGTAGTAGTTGCGCTCAGCACCATCGGGTCTGATCTTGATCTCGCCGTTCCTGACGGCGTCGATGCTAGCGTCTGCCAGCTCGCGCATGCGCATCCACCACTGTGGCTTCATGATGGGCTCAATGACGTCCTTTGACTTGGAGCAGAGTGGCACTTTCATCGGGTTGTTCTCCTTTTTGACGTACAGACCCAATTTGGTGAGCTCCTCAACGACAGTGTACCTGGTCTCGAAGCGCTTCTGACTGGCAAAAGGACCAGCGTTGTGGTTCATTGTACCATCGTCGTTCAGGATGTTGATGAATGGCAGCTTGTGCTTGGTGCCAAGGTTGTAATCGTTGGGGTCGTGGGCAGGGGTGATCTTCACCGCACCAGTACCGAATTCGGGGTCAACATAATCGTCTGCGAAGATGGGGATGAGACGGTCCACGAAGGGGTGCTTGGCGTGCTTTCCGACGAGATGCTTGTACCTCTCGTCGTTGGGGTGCACAGCGATACCGGTATCTCCAAGCATAGTCTCCGGACGGGTGGTGGCAACCTCGATAGTCTCCTCCGATCCCTCGATTGGATATTTGAAGTGCGTGATCACGCCAAACTCGATCTTTCTGTCGTAGCCTGGAACATCCAGCATGGTCCGGCCCTCAAGATCCTTGTTGTCGACCTCCAGATTGGAAAGCGCAGTGTTGAGCTTGGTACACCAGTTGACCAGGCGGTTCGAGCGGTAGATGTAGCCCTCCTCGTGCAGTCTTACGAACGTTTCGGTAACGGCAGTGGAAAGGTTCGCATCCATGGTGAAGGCCTCTCTGGTCCAGTCGAAGGAACCACCCATCCTCTTCAATACAGTATTGATCTTCTTGTGGTATTCTTCCTTCCACTCCCAGACGGTCTCCGTGAACTTTGGTCTACCGAGGTCGTGCCTAGTCTTCTTCTGTCTCCTCCACAGCATGTTCTCGACAACGCTTTGAGTAGATATACCAGCGTGGTCGCATCCCGGTAGAAAAAGTGTGGTCATACCCCTCATTCTGTTCCATCGGATCAAAGTGTCCTGCAGTGAAGTAGCGAGAGCGTGACCGCAGTGAAGGGCACCAGTAACGTTTGGTGGTGGTTCTGGAATGACAAAGTAACCCTTGCTCTTGACGTTGCCGTTCTCATCGAACTGTGGCTGATGGAACCCTTCCTTCTCCCACCAATCGTACCATGCTGACTCGACAACGGAGGGAATGTAGGCCTTGTGATAATCGTCATCCAGAGACTGGAGGACTGCAATGCTCATCAGCTCCAGCACTCCTCATCTTTGCAAAATGTACCATACTCTTCTTCTCTCCCTTGGGCGTCTTCTCTTGGTACTTTGGCAGCGCCTCTTGCTTCTCCTTTGGCTTCTTCTCCTTGGTTTTCCCGGTAGGAGCGGTTTGCTTTTGCTGGTTTGCGGCTTGCTTAGCAGCGAACTTGGCAGCTTTCTCGGCTTTGGCGCGCTCTTTGGCAACTAGTGGGACACGCAAGCGTCAGAAAACGTTTCGTGACTCGTTCATTTGCGTGTGTAGCTAGCGCGCTATATACGCGACAAAAGAATATCAAGTGACTGAGACAGGGGATCGTTGGGCTCATCCGTACGCTCTTTCTCAGTCTTCTCTTTCTTTGGGGCGTCGACATCACCGCCGTCCTTGCCAGGCGCATTCTCTCCCTTGGGGTCCTTCTCAGAAGAGCCCACAAGCTCAGAGACGGCTTCAGAGGAAACCGGCGGCGGGGTCCTGTCACAGGAGCGGTCTTCTCCCCGCTATCTAGGTGTTAGCTCAGAAAGATACTCGTCACGCCAGTACACGTACGAATGTTGTGCGACGCAGCGTTGAGCGCCATCTTGGAAAATGATCTAAATTGGTAATGATAAGGTGGTCTATGTATCACGGCGCGCCTGAGCAGCGCTCGTGACAGTATCTTGGAGGCCTGTAATGCGCAATTGAGGTGGGGGCTAGCGAAAGTCTTACGGCTAGCTCGAAAAATGATGCTGGGCCGCTATCGGAGAAAAGGGTTTAAGAAAGGTACAATCAGCAGTCGAATGCGATGCGATGTGGGAACTTTGCTAGAGAGCTTCCCCGAACTTTTGTTACTGTTCCCGCACTGATGAGTCGAAGATCAACCTGAGTCATGCGGGTTGCTTTCCAGCTCCACGCTGAAGCGATCCGATGGAAAATGATTAAGGAATATATTCAAACTAAATTTAATGTCCTTTCATCACTAGTCGATTGTATGCCCGCTTGGCTCAGGGGTAAAGCGTCTCACTCGTAAGTTGTAAAACCTATGTTATGAGAAGATCCGCGGTTCGAATCCGCGAGTGGGCAACGATTTTTTCTTTTGCTCTTCATGGTTCCCAAATGCCACCGCCCCAACAGGTATCGTGAGCGCAAGAGCAACTAGACACCAGCAAGCCGTAAAGACCCGCTTGCCAAGCACCATGCCTACATGTTCCTTGCGCTCCCCTCTTCTGTCTCGCTGACTACTAGCACTTCGTCAAGGTAAGCTCAGAAGTCATCAAGGTAATCGTTGAGTGTTACATCGAAGAAACGTTTTGGTCTCTCCGCTCCCGACACCTCTGTGCCACAACAGCGGATGATACGGCCCCTTGTTTGACCTGAACTGGCAGTTTTGAGTACGAGAAAGGGATGTCTCATGGGAAATCTACAACTCCGTTGTCCCCTCAAGCCAGATATCTATCCCCTCCCTTCCCTAAAACGAAATTGAGGGGAGAAGAGAAAGCGTCCGTATCATGCAGGCACGCTTGAACTTAAGAAAGAGAGCCACCCAGCCGAGCGACCGCCCACCCCTGCGCCATCGCTGCCACCCCTCCAAGCCAACCTCGTGTGGAAGGGGGAAAAGAAAGGCAAAAACGTTCCCGAGCCTACCGAAAGCGATCAAGACCTGGCTCTCTTCTTGTTCGGCGTGTCCGGCAACAAGGAGGCGCCACCCATTTCCATCTCGGTCGAGTCCCTCTTAATCGATCTGCGACGTCCGACGTCCTGTTCCGTGTTGACCGACTCCGGGGACGCGACACCGTCTGCCGCGTCCGAGGCGTTGTTGTTGTTGTTGTTGTTGTTGTGGCGAATGGGGAGCTGCTTCGCTTCGTTGTCCCTGACCTGTATGCAGATGCAATGCGTTAGATAGAGAGCGTGGTTCCCAAGGATGTCAACGCGCCAGTGTGGTAGTGGATGTAAGTGGTGGGTAAGCAGAGGTTTAGGAATGCGAGGATGTGGAGTTTTGCAGGGCTGCTTGACGAACAGGTGCAAAGTATGGGTGCGCCATTGCTTCCTTTGCTGTCAATCGCTCCTATCGGACACCGTCAGTGATGGACTCGACCGCAGAAACAGTGGAATGTTGACAAACCTGGTGGTCGTATCTCAAGAGCTTGTCCAGAAAATCGATCGCTTCGTCGCTGATGAAGCGTTGGTTGTCGGCATTGACGAAGCTATGCCAATTCTTCTTCGGGAATCGACCCAGAATGTCGTCGTACTGTGCGTCGAGTTCGATGTCGTACCTGTCCAGATAGTCGAACAGATCCTCGGTGCCCAGCACCTTTGCAATCTTGACCAGCTGGTCCGAATTGCTGTTGCCGTGGAAAAAAGGCTCCTTGCGGAAGATCATGGAGGCAAACATCGCACCCAGTGACCACATGTCCAGGGAGTAATCGTATTCCTGGAAATCAACAAGCAGCTCAGGGCCCTTGAAGTAGCGTGAGGCGACTCGGACGTTATATTCAGTGCCTTTGTGGTAGAACTCGGCAAGACCCCAATCGATGAGCCGCAGCTTGCGCTTCTCATGATCAATCATGACGTTGTGGGGCTTGACATCCCGGTGCATGATGCCTTTGCTGTGGCAGAAATCGAGCGCCTGCACGGAATCAATCTCTCGTGGAAATTCGCGCTCTTCGTGCGTGTGGACGTACCTTGAGCAGCTCGTAAATGTAGTAGCGCACGTCGTAATCGACGAACTTGGGATACAAGCTCCTAAAGTCCGTGTTGTTGACGTACTCGAAGATGAGCGAGGGAGTCTTGCTCTGGATGGAGTCAGCGTTTCGCCCATGCAAACGAAAGGGGTCGTCCCGTGAGATAGAGAGTGGTACCTGGCCATCCCGAACGACATCCAGCAGCGCAACAATATTGGGCCCTCCGCTCAGGTTCTGCAGAATCTTGATCTCACGCTTGATCTTCTTCTTCTTGACCGGTTTGAGGACCTTGATGACACACTTCTGGTAGTTGACAACATTGATGCCCTCGAACACTTCGGAGTACTTTCCCCGGCCTGTAAACGGGCAGACACATCAGCCATTGCTTCAAGTCAGGCGGTCACGCGCAACGGCTCAGGATGCGCACTGAGTGAGGAGGGGTGCGAGGCTCACCGATCTTTCTTACGACCTCGTAGTTCTCCAGCACGCCCCAGGAAATGTTCACGCTGTCGTAGTCCCAGTATGCCCGGGGCATCTGCTGGTTCACATCCGCGTAGACGCGGGCCATGCTGCGCCCGTAGTCGTCGTCGTCGTAGTCGGAGTAGCGGTGGTCGGACTTGTGATATAGGGCGTTGTAGTCAGAGGGGTTGGGCGGGTCGTGTGCTGTCGTCGGGCTTTGGGCCAGCGCGGTGACGACAAAGGTGAGAAGAAGGAGGCAGATGGACGGGCGACCGAGGGCGTGTTTGGGGCGGCGTGAGGATCGGTGTAGCCTTGGAGTGGTGTGCTTGTTGATTTGGTGGTGGTGGTGGTGTTGTGGTGGGGCAGAAGATGGCAGTCGGGGTGGACTCGCTTGGCACAGACACAGATGACATGGGCCCGACATTGTTCGGATGTTGCCGTGTTGAGACAGACAGAGCAGGTTCATTCTCTCTCTCTCGCTCTCTCGCTCTCTCTCCCCTTCTCAAGGTATAAGAGAGGCGAAGATATGCTCCGTGGTCGGTCGGGAAGATGAGTGATCGCCTCTTCCGGACTCGGCACCACCTTTCCTTTCTTTCTGGGTGCGCGTGAGCGAAGAGGAGGAAGGTGCGACCGCTACCAAAAATCAAGACCAAGACCAAGATCAAAATCAAGGCCAAAACCAAGATCAAGATCGAGATCAACACCAAAATCAAAGTCACCGAATCATGACCTTCTACGACCTGAACGTGCAATGGGCCCCAAATGCGCTACCGGAAATGGCAAGAACTCTGTACTTCTTGGCTGAGCGTGCGTTGCTCCATTCAGTCTCTGTTCAGGCTCCACCAGAGCGACAGCTTACACGGTGCAGTCGGGTATACCGTCGTAGCACTCAACCACACCGTCACAGGAAAGCTACCCGCAGAACTGGTATGAATTGCGCCTCCTTCAGGCCTTGTTACCCGCACCAAGCTCGAGCTAACACCCCACCCACCTCTCCCAGACCTGCGCCATCCCGAATCCCCTCCCCTTCACCACCCCACCATCCCTGACAGTGCTCCGCCGTCTCACCCTCGTGCTCACCGAGGCCCACTCCAACGCTCGCCTCGCCTGCCTCTCCCAACGCTACGACCTCGTCGCGCTCCGACCCCTCGACGAGAGGACGCTGCAGAACTGCGCCTCCAACCTCGACAGCGACCTCATCTCCCTCGACCTCTCCGTGCGCCAGCCCTACCACTTCAAGTTCAAGACGCTGAGTGAAGCCATCAAGCGCGGCATCCGCTTCGAGATCTGCTATGCCCCCGGCGTGGCCGATAAGAACGCGCGACAGCAGTCGATCAGCAATGCCACGCAACTAATCCGCGCGAGTCGGGGTCGGGGGTTGTCGTCTCGAGTAATGCGGCGCGTGCGGTGGCGTGCCGAGGACCTTGGGACGTCGTCAACCTTGCGACCATTTGGGGGCTGAGCCAGGAGAGGGGTTACGAGGCCATCAGCAAGGAGTGCAGGAGCGTGGTCGTGAGCGCCAGATTGAAGAGGACTGGGTACAGAGGCGTCGTCGATATCGTCGACGCCGGGGAGGACGCCCCTACCACACAACAGAAGCCGAACGAAGGCCAGCACGCACACACGACCGGTAAGAAGAGAAAAGCCGAGGTCATAGCTTCGCCTGCGGGAGAGGACAAGCCCGTCAGCAAAAGGGAGCAGAAGAGGCGCGCAAAGGCTGCCAGGCTGGCCGGGTCTGGAGAGAGCACTCCGCTCACAAGCTCTGGTGCTTAGATGCCACAAGATATGGAACGAGATGATTCGGAAAAGCGGATATACCCAAATACGATAGAAGCAAGCGCCAACCGCGCTTTACATGGCGACATGGAAACACAATGCATTCAAAGTCTCAGTAGCCTCTGTCTTGTGCAACGCCATGCCCTTTGCCTTCCCTGATCCGTCTGGCACGCCCATCGCTCCTCGGATCTAGCCCAAGCAAGAAGAAGAAGAAGAAGAAGAAGAAGAAGAGGCCTCTCCTTTTTCCCCCATAGAAGAAACCATCTCAGGGACAGTAGTACAATACAGCCCACTTTTCCAAACCCACCCAGGTAAGGCTCGCGCCATAACGCCACCCACCCCCCCCCCAATCCCTCTATTCTCTCACACTCCTCTTCTCCCCCAACATCTCCTCGCTCTCCCTTCCCCTCTCTCATCTCTATACCTCCGTTCCTCATCCTCTTCATCCCCAAGACTAAAGACGTCCTCGTCAGCGCTATCCTCGGCAAAGGCATCGTACAGCTCGCCACCCCTCCTCTTCTTCGCCTTTGCACCCGGCACCGCGCCGTTGGCAGCGCCATCGTCGTCGTCGCCATCATCCAGCACCTCGAACTCGTACTCGTCCCTCGCGTTCCTTCGCCTGCGCGCCCGGTTAGCGAGCCACCACGCGCACAGGGAGACGCAGAAGACCAGGATCAGCGTCGCGGCGCCGTAGATCCAGACCTGCGTGCGCTTGGAGACGCCGAAGGTGGGGAAGGCCGAGGGGAGGAAGTGCTCGTGCTCGTACTCGTGCTCGTGCTCTGCTTCTGTTTCCTTGTCTTCCTCTTGAGAAGAGTCTGGTAGAGAGGTGGGCTCGGGAGTAGGTGAGGTGGTGGTGGTGGCGGCATCGGTGGGGCTGTTGACTGGGGTTGTAGATAATACTGAGGTGGGGAGGGGAATGGAGGTCAGGGCGGGATCGGACGTGGCGATGTCGTCGGACGTGATCTTGCTGTTTACCGGCCTGTCTATATGACCGGAAGGATTGCCCCCGGTGGTCCTGTGTGTGTTGGCACGGCCACGCTGGTGGTTCCGGGCGTGACGCTCGAAGTCACAGTCTCCTTGTCGTGATCGGCATCGTCGTCGTCACCCGGCAGGGGCAAGAGTTTCGCCCTGGAGGCGTCGATGCTCTCGCCCCACAACTTGAGCCGG